GGAGGGGGGGGGGGACATTGGAAGGGGCGAATCACCTCCGTGGGGTTGGGACTCGGCATTGGTATCCCGTTGCGGCGAGGCCGCGATGGTCCGAGGACAGCGTGAGGCATGTACACCGCCCCGTGATGTGCAAAATATGTAGCACAGGAGTGTATGGAGCGAAAAAAAATTGCCTCGTTAACTTGGTACTTTCGTTCGAACTGAACCGGGGGGACGCACGTAGGCATACCGACTGTGTGCCGAGACTTGTGAAGCCGGATTCGCGGAATAACGTGCACAGCGACAGAAAACGGGTGGGCAGCGGAACGAATTGTATTATAGTAGTGTTGGATAGTTGCGTGCACGTGCGCAGCAGGCACGTCAGCGGCGAACGACATACGGGAGGCTGGAGAAAGAAATGTGTTTTCACACCTGTTCGCAAGATACACTCGACAGAGGTACGTGGAGACTGATATCGTTTCCAGCTCTACAGGTACCCAGCAAACCCATCAGGACGTGAGTCGGAAATGACCTTTACTTCCAGGGTAGGGAAGAAAAAAGGGAAAAATAGTGGTGTGGAAAAAAAGCTTGAAAACAGTATTGGAAGGAAATTTCTTGAATCAAGTATGGGGAGGATAGCCTCACCAGCCGCGGGAGGTGATGTCAGTGTCGTGTCCCACACAGCATGGGAATCAAAACGGTCGCGAAGATGCTGGAAAAAATGTGAAGACTGGCTCAGGAATGTTCCAACTTATGTCGAGGAACGTTCGCACGCAAGAGGCACTTCACCTATTCATTCTCACTTCTTTTGGGCGACAGAGTACCGACACGCCAAACAGGAGGCAAGTGAGAGAGAACGTTTAACCTTCTTGGGTCTTCAGTCTTACTGATACATGATTGATATGTCATTCGCATATGCTGGTGTGTTGGCATGCCATGGAGTTGCCGCCCTGTCGCCTTCCACGCCAGGTGTTGGCAAGTAAATATATCATTAGCATCGACTAAGCTCACCGGCGAACAATGAAAAGACGTCAGTGCCAGTGGGAAATCAAGGTCCCTATCACGGTACCAAAATTCGGAAAATGCGCACTGCGCTGAATGCTAATGTCACAGTTCGTAAACTTGATCGACTTCATAAGTCGCGAGGGAAGGGATTGCTGTACCCTTCTCGCGATAAAAATACCTCAGGCATGAACCGCAGGAGAGGGTCCAACCCCCCCCTCCTATGTGACCCCGGTTGGGTCGTCTAATAGCTGGTAGAGGTGGAGGATATGGGCCAGAGGGGCAGACGACAGAGTCCAATGATGGGCGAAAAAAAAAAAGTGCATCTCTCGATGTAGCTTAATATCCTTTCACAGAGACATACATCATAGCTCCACATACATGCCCTCACCGAAATCTATGAAGCCACTGAATTGCGAAAAGCGGAGGGGCATATCAAGCCCAGCCAAGCTAGGATATCCTGGTATGCTGCATCTCGAAATTGATATATCAATACACACCCAAGATCCAGCAGTCGTCGTCAGCAGCTGCACTACACAGCAGCAGTATAGCGAGTCCAACATACAGTAGTAGCAACACACAGACCAATACCATCATAGCTCTACACATACATATCCTCGCCCGAACCTAGGGAACCGTTCATGAGAAGGCAGGCGTGTGCTGTTGTGCTTGTGTGCCTGTGAGAATAACACAGGAGCTCTAGTGACCCGGCAGGGCTCACAACAGGGGGGGGAGGTGTACTCATAGTCATGCATGCCGTAGTCGTTGGACCATTGACCTCGCATCCCTACAAAGCCGGGACGGAGCATGCCGGGTTCTCACCGGACCAGGCTCTCACATCACCAAGCGCGAAGCGCCGTGAGGTATTCGGCGAGTCGCATGAAGGGTGCGCTGCATCCTGCTAAGGCTGTTTGGCATCTTGTGCTTACTTCCTCGCGTACGGATGACAGCTGCGTATGACTTCATTTATTTTCTGGTGCTTTCACTCGCAGAGACAGTTGTAAGCACTGTGTAACTGCCTCGAGGGTGCTTGACCATATAAACACAACGTGGTGTGATCATCCCCCTTGCGCGGAGTGAGGGTTCTCCACCCTGCACGACATGATCTACTCGACCACCATTATGGTTACCGCAAAAAAAAAAGAGATGAAAAAAAAGAAACGGTAACCTGGTTGCCGAGCTCACGAAGTGAAGCGGCTTGTTTTACAACGTCGTTGCCAAGCGACGAAAACCCAATCCTGATGGGGATTGCAAACGCCGAGGGGGGGGGGCAGAAAAGAACAAAAGCGCAGATAGCGACTTCTATTGAGGTCTACAAGCCATCTCATGGATCATTTGCACAGATCATTTTGTCATCCTGAACATAAAGCAGTTTTGCCAGGTTGACGACTGATCATTTCAAGGTCTACAAGTCTAACCTGCGCCTTCAAGTCCAGCGTGCCCTACCAGCTGCACCGCTACCACTCATCAACCGTTGTATGACACTGTAGCCACCACCCCGTCGCCGGCAGTCCTCATGACTTAGAGGTGGAGATAGCTAATGCATGTACACAAGCACAGCAGTTTCTCTTTTGCTGCACTTCTCGCTCTCTCCGCACTGTCTCCCGCCTCTGCTTACTGCTGTGCAGCCCAATCAACTTACGCTGTCTGTCGTAGACTACGTCAAATAGACCATGTAAATAGTGTACACGCACGACAGTCCCGAGTGCCGGTACGCTCGTACTAAGTAGGTACGAGACATATTCACAAGGATTCGAGGCTCAGGGTTTCCGGAGAAATAAGAAAAATGGCGCAAGAGATTGGGCTCAGCCGCCGGCAGGACGCTGCATCCTTTGTGCTAGCTCAGCAAAAGCCTGTGTTCGATAGTTGACAAGGTTTTCTTTGAGCCTTTCTCAATATTGTGTAGAGGGCTCTCACGAGCGGGCCGGCACTGGCTTGTGGCCCTTCACAAAGTATACAGCAATTTCTCAACGCTGGAAAGAGACTGACCTCGTGCAATTTTCTTGTCCTCGAACTCTACCCAGCCTTCGGCATAACGCTTCCCAGAGTTCCCGCCGCCCTTTTTTCTGGCGCGGCGATTTGCCTGATCCTCCTCCACAAGGTATACCTGATTCATTCCCAGTAGGATAAGAGCATCAGGCGGTGGACACGCCAAGTACCACTTCAAGGTTCAAGAGCAAGAGAGCCGAGTGGGGAGCAAGGCCAAGCGAATTGTTCGCGAGATGCACACAAATCAGGGTGCGCCATGCCGGACTTGTCCATCACCTGTGCCTGCGGTGCAACAGTAGGAAGCCACTTGTGTGTGGCGAAGTGCTCGATTGTTGGTTTGCTGCTGCCTACTACCTAGGTGACGTGAAATATCACACCCCCGGACCGATTTTCACCGCCCGATTACTCCTCAGCAGAGGAGAGTGGCGGTGCCGAAAATTGCGGCGTTGAAACCATCTTGTGCAGAGCTTTCGGAAAACCTTACTATAATACTTCTCGGATATATTATATCGGATGATATATAATACTTCTCGGACCTATTACAGCAGTATATATATATATCCTTCGAATATCAGTCCACCAGGTTATAGTCTATCACTTCACCTACGAGACACGGGAAAAATTGCCCCAATGAAGACCTAACCTTGGTTGACTCACCCGTGTCACGACACCATGCTGCTCCATGAGATGCTTAACCTTGGCGGGCTTCATGAAGGGCGGAACGCGGCTCAGGTACACCACCCCCCGCTTGGCCAGGCCCTCGTTGTAGTCTTTCAGCTTCCTGTGGCTGAGCGGTTTATAGTTCAAAGGCTGCCGAGTGTCCACCTGGTCGTTGTCATCGGCACTCTCAGGTCCCTTCTCCGAATCAAGATCGCCTCTAGAGACTTGGGCTTGAGGGTCGGTGGCTGGTTCTTCCATCGTGCCGTCTCCTGGGTGTCTCTGTTCGTACCCCTCCTCTTGCTCTCGCGCGGCCTGGCGTGCTTTGCACGAAGGTGTCTGCCAAAACGCCTCTTTCGATTTTTTGGACCGCTGCTCACTGCGTGGGCTGGGCATGGCCGGCTGGGCAGCGGTCGGTGCGTGCGGCGGTACAACAGCAGACAGCGGCCTTGGATAGGTGTACGACAACTGCACTGAGTTGGTATCAGATAGTGATGAGTGGGTAGCGCACACTGGGGAACTGTATGTTCTCCGTCGCCGGCCCGCACAGATGGACACCGAAACACGTTCAAGTTGATCGATCAGTCGGCTGGAAGACTACAATATCCATTACGAATAAGACAGGATCTACGGTAGGTAGGTGTGTAACGCCAAGTGTACAAACTTGCGTCCATGGAACAACGAGCCCAGCTCGAGAACGCCTGCTTCAAGTGGTGCTAAAGGGCTGCACTGCTATTGGATATGGCCTACTGGCGACGTGTGCTTGGAGGAGCCATTTTCCGGCGAAACACGTCCATGTATATTGGGCGCAAGGCCGTGTACGTACGTAGTACTTGCAAGCCGGCTGGCCGGTTGCCGGAAATTTCAAGTCTCGCGGACCGCACGTCAACCTGAGGGTGCTCGTGTGGATACGCGCCTAGTCGTATGCACTCTGCTTGAACAAAGAGAGTGGGGTTGACTCATTGAAAGAGATACAACAAAGAGTGGCAGATCGTTTATCACCACGCCAACTGAAGCGGTCATCACACGCAAGCCCCCGTGGTGAGGCGAGGTGTAGGGTCGACATCTGTTGTACGAAAAATTGGAAATGGAACGAGTAACCATATTAGAATCCACATCTTGACTCAACATACGCACACAAGCTGTCCTTGCAGGGCGCGACTGAAAGGGTTCACCCAACGAACACAGATTGAATCATGACACCGAGCGAAACACTTGGTTGGGGACACTCAACGGGAGAGAGCTCTTCCCGCAACAAACTACAGACACGACGGATACGCAAGACATGCAAAACAAAGGCAGGCGTTGCAACAACATGATCTTCGGGTTTCGTCTACAAAGCAACATACGGACCATAACACGTTGTGAACGTTACAAATAACAATTTGAAGCGATTCCTACCAATCTAACACAGTAAAAATGTTGCTGACGGGACAAGACGACGAAAGGTACTGCAGAGGCTAGTTGACGAAATGAATCTTTCCAAAACAACCAACACCTCGTTCTTCGAGACGATGTCGAGGTTGTTGCCGATCCAACGCTTCGGTGCAAGGGGCCCTAGCCCTCGCGTACAACATGAAAACGTGAAGACACCACACACCTCATGATCCCCGACGGGACAAGAGAGAACGAATGAGGCGTATTCGCCAAACGAACCGTTAGCTAGGGACACAACCACAGCAGTATCTATCTCAGGAGGCTACTACTGGATGCTAAGGATAGTACACACATACCCGTCACAACTCCGGTCAAAACATCTATTTTTCAAAATTCATGGATGCTCCATTGTCAGACCCAGAAAAGCTATCACACTGTATGTCGGAGATATGCATCTTGGCTGGATACCTGCAGTAGCATCATGAGTCACGCTGGACACCTGCAGTAGTATTATTGCATCATCATGAGTCAGTCACGCATTTCTCTCTGTAGTCGATTGCAGCAACACAACAAGATGTCTCTGTGTGATGCAGATACATATATATGTGCAAGTACATGCGTTCTACGCGTGTAGCCTAGGGATGATAGGCTGAGAGTTTTGTCCTAGATACATACACCGCAGTGGTAGAAGCCTGCGTGTAGAAGTCGAGCAGGGAGACTCTGAATACGTCCGAGAGATTGACGGAATATATATGTTGAAGTCGAGCAGGGAGACTCTTGGTTATCGGAATGTTTGCGGTGAAAGTTTTGTTGAGTTGAACAAAAAGAGACCCCGAGAGACCAGTACAGCAAGTAGATCTCGGGAAAACCCTGTTTTGACGGTTGTATAATTTTGTTTTGTTTTTCGAGATGAGACACACGCGCGCTCTCGCCCCCTTTGTGCTCACTCTACTTTATCACCATCAAAACCTGACGCGGTAGTCGTCAGTAATCAAACATTTTCCTTTGCTTCTTCGTTCCGAGGCACACATCAAGTTGCACCCGCACTCGAAGTGTAACCTCTGTGTAGGCTGCTGTACAACCACAGCTGCTGTACAACCACAGCCTCGAAGCGACCGCTGCACACAGCACACACCCGCTGCTGCAGAGACACTTCCCCCGAGACTGTAGTCTTATTCCTTTGTAAATGAAAACGATTGACACCCCCAATAGAGGAAGAAAGAACGGACAACGAGACTGGAGCGGCCGACAGAAAGAGGTGCCCTACCTTTCGACGAGCCGGAACAACTATTTATATAATGACCATGCGGATTCGCCCAGCCGGAAGCTATCGCCAGGATTACTAGTAAACAGCGCAGCTAATCCGATCCACAACCCAGAGGAGAACAAGCACAGCCTAGATTGGTTGATCCGCTTTTTGTTCTTGTTGTTGCCTGCCTAAACAGCCGTGCAGAATAGTGATTGAAGCTACTTTTCTCTGCTTTTGAGTGGTGTTCATCTTGGTTTCAACGGGTGACATCAGAGCAGTCGACGTCCCTCGAGGAATCGGCGCAGCTGCACATGGCAGCGTTCAATTCGTAGTCCTTGAAGATCGTGTCCAGGCGCTCTTCGTTGGCCTCGTCGCAGACGCCGTAATCCGCGTCGTACCTACGATCAGGAGGGGAGAAGGGGGCGGGGAGAAAAACGAGACCACCACGAGGGGATAGGAGACAAAATCAGGAACGGGGGAAGGTCGACGACTTCACGGCTCCTCCGGCGGGGATGGTTTCGTTCGGACATCCGGCAAAACGTGATAGGTACCGGGTGTAGCGTACGTTCCTACGACTATCTTTGTTTGAAGGTGGTGGTGGTGATCGTGGTGTTTCTGTCATTTATTCCACACATACGTTTGTGCCTCTTGGTCGAGGTAAAGACTCTGCACGAGCGATCGTTCAGGGACGAGCGGCGATACCCTTCCGTGGCCATGGAGAGGATAGCACATGCCATCAACGGAAGGGGCGGTGTGTGGAGTGGAGTGGAGGGGGGAAACAACGCAAATACATCGACTTGACACTCACTCGACGTTGAAGACGGGCTTGTCCTTGTCCAGGAACGGGATCTTGTATGCCTGTCGAATGGCCAGTCAGACACATCATCATCAGTCGAACAGTCGAGTTGCACACGGCACAGGTGAGTAGTTGATTTGCGCGGCAGTCCAACCGTGAGGAAGGGGCAGGTGGAAACAGGCAATCGAATCAGAGACTACCCCGCACGCTTCTCTACGCGTCAGGGGAAAACCTGTGCACGTACAGATCGAAACAGATTTGCTGCTTTATCCACATCTACTGGCGTGGGCATGGAAGTCGTCGGTATACGAGTGTTTCTTCGGTTGCTTTGGTTGAGATCTCGGTTCTTAAGCCATCCTATCTCCTACCATTGCTTTCTATAAGCAGGATTGACCCAAGGCAGCAAGAAAATCACGCTCGTAACGCGAGAACGTACATAGAAGAGCACACATGCGTACAGTACGGCAAACGCCGTTCGTAAAGCAATAACTGCAAACGACCACAACAAATATGGTTCGTACTCACGCCGCATTCGTTCCACACGTGGCACGACTCGTTGATGCCGAAGTCGTAGTAGTCGCTCAGATCTCCAAGAAGCTCGATCGCGTTTTTCATGCCCACACGCATGCCGTGTTCTCGAACCTAGAACAATGAACCAAAAATATGGAAAACGAGCGCAAGAATTACGGCTTTCCCACGACGACTCTGTTTGTCCGACTCGCATGCAGTACCTGCGCGCTGATATAACCAATGGCCAACTGGGTTGCTCTTGTTTCCTCGTCGAGCGTAGAATATGATTGGTAGGACATGGAGCCTCGACATGAAATTAACCCTAGCTTTTTTGTGTGGCCAACTCACCGTCTCCGCGAACCATTTGTTGTACGTGACCTGCTCTTCCCGGGAGATGGTGACACCGGTCCCCTCCTGGTTCCAGTTCTGCCCGCCAGGGAAAAGGGGGCCAAGAGCAACAACAATACAACAGAACAAGGGAGAGACACAGACCAACGACATAATCAAGACCTGGCACGTGGGACGATGGCTCGCTCACGCAGGAGCGTAGCAGGAGAAGGGTAGCTGTCGGTCAGTATGTTTTCTGCAGCACAACAACCACGGTGAAAATGTTTGGGTGCAATGGTAAAACGGATAAACCCGTGCATGAATCATTGGGCTCGACACTTGTGTAAAAAGGCGAAAGCTCGCGACCCACGTTGGTGCGGTTCACCCCGCATTTTTGAAAGTTGAATCGCTTGCAGAAAAACTATGGTAATGAGCACGGGCGTGCGGGTAGGCCACGAACGCTATGTATTTCTCGTTCAACCGCCCCATCTCCCGTACGCTGCCTCTTCTCCAACTCCCAGTCCAACCCCGTCCCTGGCACATAGCATGTATTCATGTACCGCACCGCCTTGTCGACTTCGCCGACAATAGTTTGATTACTTTCCGACCCGGGGCCATGCACACAAAAAGCGTGGGAGGGGGGGAGGGAGCTCCTCCCGGACCCTCTCCGGTGGTCTGAGTAGTGAGTGGGCACTCACAGACATGTTGTCGGGCTCGATGGCGTCGCAGTTCATCCTGGCCGCCTTCTCCACGCGGGCCTCCATGAGATCCCTCACGCTCTGCGACCGAGCCCACAACGCGACAAAGGTATCATACGACGTGATGAAAGACAGAAATAAAGCAAGGCAGTGGTGTTCTTGTTGGGAGTAGTGTGCTGAATCATATTCAGCACAGCGTAGAGTAAACACGAAAACGCGGAGATGTCTACACAGACAGGCCACCCTATCGTGCTCTGCTCAGGTAGTGCAAGCGTTGGCAGGGGTGGCGTTGTACCTCCTCAGAACGGCACGTCTTGTCGTGGCCATCATGCTTCATGCGTATCACACCTGCTGGGTGATGTCGAGAAACTTCTCGCCTTGCCAGTCGTCCCAGGAGCTCCCGACCACGTACGACGGGAAGGCACCGGCGTCCTCGCGCCACGACTCCACGGTGCCGACGGAAATGTAGCAGGATACGTACTTGCCCTTGCCGTGCAGCTCGTCGATCGTGTCTTGAGCGTTGTCTGAAGCGACGGCGACGATAACGGCATATTAATCGGACAGAAAACGGCGAGGGCGACGATGGCGACAACGATAGTCAGCAACACAATAGCAGAAAAAATAACGATAGCGCTGGTTTCTATACATCCGGTTGGGGCCATGGAAGATAAGGAGGACGGGGGAGCGCGCGCGGGGGGGGGG